TATATACCTATTTAATCGATTAAAGCCGAGCCTGAGTGATAAATTTGAGCATTTTGAAGCTTCTAAGTTACAGACTATGTACCGGCTATCTTAGACTCTAAAATTACAGACTCAATCAAACTAAAACAGAGTTATTACAATACAGAAATCATCAATCTTCAATCTTCAATACTCTAAGTCTTTAAGCTCTTGGATCATTATCAAAATCAACATTCTTCATGATCATTATTTGCAACATCAAGTCCTTGAATGTTCAACATACAGTTCGAGTATTGTTATCTCTAGTTGTAAACATTGATTGGTCCTTACAACAATCTGACGTAAAAAATGTCTTCTTATACAGGGAATTGTCTGAAGAAGTTTATATGGACCTACCAGAAGGATGTGAGATCTCGAATACACATAGCAAGAAGGCATGCAAGTTGAAGAAGTCATTGTATGGACTAAAACAATCACCACGAGCATGATTTGGTAGATTCACCAAGTCAATGCTTGCTTTTGGATACCAACAGAGCAACCAAGATCATACCTTGTTTCTAAAGAAAAAGAAAGAAAATATGATAATTCTTATTGTCTATGTTGATGACATAATAGTTACAGGAAACGATCTAGAGGAATGCAAGACATTAAAAGAGTACTTGGCAAAGGAATTCGAGATGAAAAATCTTGGTCCTTTGAAATATTTTCTTGGAATTGAGGTCTCAAGATCAAAGTCAGGTATTTTTCTCTCACAATGAAAGTATGCATTGGATTTACTAAAAGAAATTGGAATGACAGCATGCAAACCAACAAATTCTCCAATTGAAGAGGGATTGAAGTTGTGCATTGAAGAAAATCAAACTCCAACTAACAAGGGAAAATATCAGAGACTTGTAGAGAGATTGATGTATCTCTCACACACTATGCCAGATTTAGCTTATGCTCTTAGTGTGGTTAGCCAGTTCATGCACAATCTAGGTGAAAAACACATGGATGTTGTTATACGGATTTTAAGGTATATAAAAGCTGCTCCTGGAAAATGAGTTATGTTCAAGAAGAACTTCAACTACAAGGATGTGATGGTTTATACTGATGCAAATTGGGCAGGTGATCAATCTCTGGATACTTTACATTTGTAGGAGGTAATCTTGTCACATGGAAAAGCAAGAAACAGAAATTTGTTGTTAGGTAAGCTGAACTTAGAGGAATGGTTCTTGAATTTTGTGAAGTTTTGTGGCTCAGACTACTTCTCCAGGATTTAGGGTATGCACATATACGTCCCATTCAGTTGTATTGTGATAATAAAGCTACGCGCGACATTGCTCACAACCATGTCCAATATGATCGGATGAAACATGGGGAGGTTGATAGATTTTTCATCAAGGAAAAGCTTGATAAAAATATTTTGGAATTGCAAAATATTCGATCTGAAGATCAATTGGCAGACATTCTTACCAAAGCTGTGACAAGTCAAATTTTTAGGAGATTATTGGACAAGTTGGGAATGTATGACATCTATTTACCAACTTGAGGGGGAGTGTTGGGATAAAGATATTTGATTAGCTAAATTATAGGTTTGTATAACGGTACAAAATATTGTATAATCGGAACTTCTTATATTTAATCCTGATTTATTATAGTAAAATACTATATGATCATAATATATGTGTAAAAAATAATATGAATAAAAATATAGAATGAATTCTATATTTTTAAATTAATTAATTGATGCCACCATTGGCAACACCAACAATTCCAGGCGACATTAGATTCATCTTTCTACTTTTGAATTTTCGATTGGTAGTTTAGATTCTCAAAGTCCCTCTATTAAATAACGTAAAGGATGAGAATCAATTATGTGATAAATGGAAGATGAGAATCAATTCTAGTTTAATGGAAAAGTACTATTTATATATTCAAAAAGTATGAGAATTGATTCTTAACGTATTCAAAAGAAGGAAGAATCGTTTCTTATTTTATCACCTCTCTAAGAATTTTCTACTGATTAACCATCGATTCTCTCACCCATAATTAATTCTCTCTGTTTCTCTCGGTCACTCTTTGTGTCAATGTACATTATACACACTAACACGAGTGCAAAAAAAGGCTTTTACGTCAGGTATTTAGGGCTTTTTACGTCGTATTTAAGACTAACGTTAAAATGGGAGACGTAAATTTACATCGGACCATTTAGCCCGACGTAAATTTACGTCAGTTATCAAGACCCGACGTAATTTTGCGTTGCATATACCACTAAACAGACGTAAAAACTTTCAGAAATTAAAAAAAAAAACAACAAATTTACGTCGCATATTGGTATACGCTACATAAATTTACATCACATATACCAATATGCGATGTAAATTTACGTCGCATATACCAATATACGACGTAAATTTGCTATTTTATTTTTTAATTGGGTTGATTCTGTTCTATAACTAAAACCTGCAAATATATATTACAACCAGACAGTCCAGAGGTTCAATTTTCTGTAGCTAGTAAATTAAAAATATAATATTATATAATTCAAACTACATAATAAAAGAATATAATACAAACATACAAACTAAAAAATCTATTACAAACTAAAAGTTAATACAAACTAAGCTACCTAAACTACATAATACACACAATATAATATGAACAAGAACTTAAAAAATTATGTACTAGAATTGTTGAACAAAAAATTTTGCCCATTGTTCCCGAATTTGGGTAATATCATATTCTGGTAATGGAGATGGATCTTGAAATACCTGAAACATTAATTTGACTATTGTAAACATGCAACATGAATAAAGTTAAATAAACTTAACTAATGTTAAAAACAATTACCTCCGTCCAAAAATCAATTATATTCGCACAAATAATGACTCTCATCCAATACATAACATAATAACCACATTCAAACGAGTCTGTTTGCTTATTACACTGAAATGATGCAAAAAAACATAATGTTATTTTCAAAATTTAAATACAAACAATAATTATGGTATTCACTTATATAAATAAGTTTCTAACCTTAGGATAAATGAACTGCAAAGTCTTTGTTCTAGGTTTTCCACTTAGAACATTAGTTCCAGTACACGATTCTAAGTGAAAAAAGTCATATATTATTCAATATGTATTTACAATTTAAAAACATAATTAATGAATAAAAGATAAAGTTACCCTTGTAATAAGTTTTTCATTTCTTGACTCGGTTTCCGATGTAATGAACAAAACCACACCACAAGTGTAATCCCGTGGTATGATTACAAATAACCGCCAATGGGATCTATATTGTATAACATAAAAATTAGTTAAAAAAATATAAATTAAAATACAAATTAAAATACTAACCCTTCAATGTATGGAGCCAAATATATATGTCTTTTTGAGTCACTCATCCATGTTTGCATATATTGTTGGATTCCAACCTTTGTATTTCCAGATTTTTGGATGGATTGAGGCTCAATAAATCCGTATACTTCGATTTTTCTAGTTCCACACTCAATTTGTCCATGTACCTAAAACAATTAATTATAATTTGAATATAATTATTATAATCTTAGAAACATAATGAGAATGACTTACATTGCCCACAATTGTATGATGGAAATGTTTAACATGCAATTTTCCCTAACAATTTCTAAAGCATCGGGCAAGGAAATGTATAATGGAACACTGGAATTGTCAATTCCAAACACTCTAACATCTCGGTGTATTCGACACGCTCTCTTCCTCAACCGTAGTAATATGGTCAACAACATAGAGATGAGATCATCATCACATTCTGTCAAATCCTCATCAATAATAGGTTTTTTTATGCTTAGCACGACGCAAGTCCTCCTAAACAAAAGATAACAATTAATTAAACATTTATATAATTATAATACTATAAAAGAGAAAATAGACAATATATATATATATATATATATATATATATATATTACCTTGGTCTGTGTTGATAGTGGCATAACCAAACGTCTTGGTCAAGCCAAGAATGTCCCGCTTGCCTGCCGCACTTTGAATATCTTCATTAGAAAAAGGCACTGGAGCATTAACATCATGAACTTCATCAACTACTACTCGCATCCAGTCTGCCTATAGAGGGACACCATAGATGGTTAAACCACCCTCAAAAACTCAACCAATAGCCACTAGACGCGGGGGGTCATCTTCAACATATAACTCACACTGGTGTGATGCATCAGTCTGAGTATATTCTCCTGAAGGATCAGCAGTAGCAGCACAACTCCCTTTAGTGCTGACTCGAACAACATCATGTTCAATTGTTTGAGGTGTTCCTTGAGTCTGTTGCTGAGAGCGGGCGAGACATTCAATTTTCTCATCACACTCTTGCTGCAAGGACTGCCTTATTTGATTCAATTTTTCTTCAAACTGCATCTCCAATTTATGCAAGACCTCCTAGCTGCAAGAGTCAGTAGTGGTGCTTCGTGATGTTGGACCAAAGTAATCACGAAGGCCCCAGGATCCACAATACTAGAAAAATGTCAAATAGTAACTGAAATTAGTGACTAAAAAATGTAGTTACTATCAGTGACCGAATCAGTAACCAAATTATTATTCTTTAGTTTAGTAACTGAAATAGTAACCGAATTTTCAGTCACATAAAATCGGTTACTATTTCAGTCACTTTATTATTTTATTTTATTTTTTTAATTAATCTACATTTAATTTAATATAATTTAATTTATGTAATTATTTCAATTATTCTATTACCCTTCGAAATGTTCACCTTCTTTGCGCTCTACAATCATACCTCTGAAATTTTCATCTTCTTCGCGCTCTCTGTGACCTGGGCGTAGCTTCCAAATTTTCTTCATCTTCTTCGCGCACTAACCACACTTGTTCGCGCATTTTCTTCATCTTCTTCACGCATCTCCATCACCAAGCGACTTCGAACCTCAATGTCGACAAACTCGAGGCCGAAACCCAACTCCGACGGCATTGAACCCCAAGCCAAACCCAAATCATCGTGCAATGAAACTCAACGCACAAAAAGTCCGCATAGGAATACAATGGGAGTCCACGATCTCTGGGAGCTTTTCTCCCCCGTCAGTCGCCGCGTCTCCTTCAAAACCCTTGCCGAAAAAACTCTCGCCGTTGATAATCCTCAAACCCTATTCCTTTTGTTCTCTCTCTCCCCCCGCATCAACTAAGTGATCTTCTTCCTTTATTTCCCCTAATTGCAGATGCGAGCATATGGATGGTGCAGTTTATGAAAGCGATGCACGACGAGAAGGGCGAAATGGTTCGGAACGCCCATTTGCTGGGCTTCTTCCGTTTCATTTGCAAGCTTATGTTCCTCCGCACCAAGCCAGTCTTTGTCTTCGACGGTGGAACCCCTGCCCTCAAGCGTCGCACTGTCGTCGCCCCCCACCGCCAGCGCGAAAACGCCTAAGCTAAAGCCCGCAAAACTACAGAGAAAAACTACGGAGAAATTGTTGCTTAATCATGTATGACCTTTTGCTTTGCGTTGTCAATTCCGAAGCTTTGATCACTTTTTTTGTCCCTTTTTTGTGACTGCATTGGTCGTTCGACTCCAATAAAAGGAAAACAATTATCTAAATTCACTTTGAAGGGGAAGAATGTTGAATGGGTTAGAATTGGGTGCAGTTTATTTACTCACTTTTCGTGTATTTCTGTAGTAAGAAAGTGATTAGCACATGCCCATTGTTATAGTTGTATGTTTTAGGCTCTTTCGTGTTTTTAGGGTTTCGTGTAATTTTAATGTGAAGGTTGGAATTTTTCTATTTCTTTTTTGGATTGTTGCTCGGATTTTGGATACTGACATGGCAATTGATACTGGGTTGTTGATTTGGTGAGTTTTTAGATGTTATTAGTGTCATTAGTTTCCAAATAAATTAGTGAAAGGTGTGGACTCATGTTGATTTGAATAAGGAGTCACTAATTCCTTGAGCTTTTAGTTAGTGTGGTGATGTATCAATAGCTCTTGAAAATTGGTATGGTTACAGATTTTGAGTATGATCATGTGTTTTTTTTTGTTCTGCTTTTTATTCTTGCTGATATTAATGGTATGAATTATAGTCCCATGCGATTAATGTAGTAGGAGATGTAAAATTTGAAATTAGAGCTCTGAAAGTTTAAGCTATTATGAAGATTCATCCTGGTTTTTAGAAACATGGAAAAAGTATTGCTTAGTGTTGAATTTTAGACATTCAAAGTGTCAGGGATCTTTGAAATTTAGTTCGTAAATGCACTTTCTCAGGGTAGTCTTTTTCTACCTGTTTTTGCTGCTTTGATTATTCTCACAGAAATTAATTAGCTGACCACATATTCTTCTTGAAGTGGACATGCAAACTAAGAAAAAAACCTCTAAGAAAAATGCCAGTCAAGATCATTGTAGTCCTAAGGTTGCAAGAGCACAAAGGAAGGTATCTGAAAATGGAAGAGCTGCTGAAAAGAAAGTGACAGACCTAATTACATCATCTGCTAGGAAGAATAAATCTTGTAAGTACTAGTGATGGTCTGACATTTTTTAAGATAGCTATATCAATTTTTTTTTTATGTCTAATTTGTCTTCTAATATTTTGCAGTGCATAACTCAACCTTCTAAAAAAAAAAATTTGAAATTTCCAGTATCAATATATTATGGTCCAAAAACAATGTGTCTTTTGGCAATAGAAAACAGTGAAATTAACTGATTTTAATTCTCATCTTCTTGGTGTAACTTCAGTTAGCACTCTTGAGAATAAAGCTAGAGAGCCCATCCCTTCAACAGATTTGAATAATGGATGAGTTTATGGACAGTGGAACTTCCAATCTTTGTTTGGAAAATGATGCAGTTGATGGTGTTTCACTAGATTTTATGGTATTTTAATTAGACTGCTTTTCTACTTCTCTTATTTTGGATCTTTTACTTTATGTGTGTCCTGGTGTGCATGCTACTACATAAGTTTCTCTTTTACCTGAAAGTTGTTTTTAATCTTAGATGTCAACTGCATAATGACTCAACGTCATAAGTTTCTCTTTTGAAATGTTGATTTGATTTTAAGGTTCTCATATAAATTGGATATATTCTGACACTTTTTTGTCTTTGTTTTTGTTTTTTTAAATGCATTTAAATAATGCTTCAGGGTTGCAACGATCAAGCTGTTCATCTTGAGTCTGGAACTATATTTTCTCCTGGGTTTCACTTATCCAAAAATCCTGGAGGAAAAGTTGTTGACATAGGTAAATGACATTGTGTTATTTTAATTATTCTTGGCATTGATTTTTTTTTTCTTTTCTTTCTGTTTGTCCATGAAATTTTCTTATATTTTTTAATCTTTTTTCATTTGTTTCTATCTAGTTGATTTTATGAAAATTTTTTAGAATGAAGACCAGAAGAAAACTTCTCCATGTCAAGAATTAAAGTTACCTCAAGAAGATGCAGTAGATGGTCCTATCACTCAAGGATCAGACACAGCAATGGAGGTAGACATGAACAATTCATCCAACTACTCTAATTCTGGGAGCTGTGGAAATCAGATACATGCTTTAGGCACAGGAAATATGAATGGTTGCAATTCTGATTTTGATGGAAATGGTCTTTCCATGGAAGTTTCAGCCATATATCTTGCCATGAAAAAATCAAAGCTGGAATGTGTTGATGAGCACGGTCAGGATCCAATGTCTTCTGACATATACACAGAGGAGGATGAGTTTGAGGATTTTGATGACTTTGACCCATACTTATTCATAAAGACCTTACTAGACTTGTCAACAGTGGTTCCAACTTTTAGACGATTGTTGTTACCTAAGCAGACGCGTAGTTGCCCTTCAATTACTCTTGTTCTGGACTTGGATGGTAAGTAAATCATATATGTACACTTGGCATCCCTAATTGATAAAATGTGCATCATAGTTTTTTTTCCTTCCCTTTTTGGGTTTAGATATATTATGGATGGTCTTTCGGTTGCAACAAAACAGTGTCCTGTTCAATTTTATTTTGATGTCCACCGTTCCAGTTTGCTTCCCCAACTCCATACCTAAAATTTGTGATTTGATGTGTAATCTATGCTTAAAAAAATAAAAACAATAGTTTATTTCATTTTCTTTTTTCAGTCTGCTATGCATGGTGAAGTTGATCCAGTTGTTCTAGCCTCATTGCCTCCATCAATGCAGCTGGACCTTCTTGTTCAGGTAGTTTAGTTCCTAAAGTACTTTTTAGCGCAAGTACCTTTAAAATTTTATTCTAATCAGCAACTCAATATTGTTACTGCAGATGAGAGAGCGTTTAATTGCAGAAAACAGACAAAAGTATCAGAAAGTCAAGAAGATTTGTGGAAAGAATTCATATGTAATTTTGATATATTGAAATGTAAAGCTTGTACCTTGTAAAAATTGCAGTTTTCATTTATAGTATATATAATGTATTTCATATTTTTTAATATGGTCTATCATTATTTTAATAATAATATAAAAAAATAAAATAAAATAAAATTAGTGACCGATATAGTAACCGATTTTGTCATATATATTTGGTCATAAAATTGGTCATTGATTCAGTCAATAAATTAGTCATTGAATCGGTCACCAATTCGGTCACTAAATCAGTCACTAAGAAAATAGCGACCGATTCTAGTTGGTTACTATTTCGGTCACTATTTTAGTTAGTGACTGATTTTGATCATTTAGTAGCTGTGACGTAAAAGAGGTTTTTTTATGTTTGCTGGGACATGCGACGTAAAAATTTTATCTTTTTATTTACAAAATTGTCACTGTGTTTTATTTATATAAATATTTTTAGATACAACGGGTGACTTAAAATCCCTTTTTGCAATAGTGTAAATCACAGTCATGAACTCACCTCGCACAAGAACGTTTAACAGTACACGATCACGACTATATTTAATGGTGACTTGAAGTTGGGACGAGGATTGTAGTTGCATATGTTTGAGCTGCATTATTCTCTACCATGAAAGGAATGCAAGCAGAGGCAATGAAAGATTCCTTGAGATGCATGCAAAGTCACGTGAAAGAACGCTGTGTTGCAACTGTTATGGGATTCCAGGTTTATGTGAGAAGCACGGAGAGTAATCCTGTCATTACACTCATCTTTTCCTGTATTTCTTCCCTCTTTCTCCTCGACGTAATAGGGCTCTTGATCCGCACTCTCCCTCAAATCTTCATTGGATATAAATATAAACAATCCGTTCTTCCATTTTCGCGAACAGTACATATGCGGAATCACACGCTTAGAGTTCGAAATTTGAAGAACATGGTGGGTTGTAATGGTTGCCTAATAATGTTTGCTCCAACAGAGGAGTGTGAGGGTTGGTTTGCATCATACTCCAATTATATATAAAGATCAGGCAGTGAAGAGTGGTTGCATATAAGCTTTGTAGGAGTGAGATTTGTGGCAGAGCCGCAAAGGATACTTTACTGGTGATTTAGAAAGAGGTACGATGGTTCCAGGGGTTCTTCTCACTCTGGCTCACGTTGGAGTGGTGGCCTCTGACAGTTGGTGATGATTGAAGGATTGGTGAAAGAATTTGACATGGTAGATAGGACGAGGTTTTAGGTAATAGAGTGATGCGGAAAACATGCAGAGAAATATAAGTTGTATTTTGAAACTTTGGGGATCATAACATAAAATTGATTTCTCAGCTCTTTAACAAAAAGTTATTTCTAAGTTTCTCAGTAAAGTAAGTAATAACTGTGAGAGATGAATAAGAGAGGAACGCAGAAGCGATTTATTCCACATATAACTGTCTCCATTTTCGATGTAATTGCTGAATCTTACACTATGATTTACAGACAATCAAGTAAAGATCGTCATTCATTTCACTACTTATATATTAATTTAATAAAAAAGAAAATTAATTAAAAGTTATTGTTATAATAATAAATGAAGTGGTTGAATAATGGTAACATACAAAGTAAATTATACAAATTTTTTTTTTTAGAAAAAAGTCATAATTTATACACAATCATGTAAAAGTTGACCACCATTTAACTACGGGAGGATGAAACATTGATTGAATAAATATCTTTTTCTTTAAAATTTGTATCATGAATTATACATAAAATCAGGTAGAACTTCACAACCTCTATATCAATATAATAACTATAATATGATTTTGTCAAAAAATTTAAAAATATTATTATAATAATAAATAAGTTTATTGATACGCGTGGGATAAAAAAAGTAGGTTATATAATTTTTTTTTTCAGAAAAATTGTCATAATTTATAGATAGTTATTGGACAACCTATATATTAATAAGAATATTTAATAAAAAATAATTAAAATTATTATTATAATAATAAGTGGGAGTGGTTGGATAGATTTAGAATGAAAATTGGATTGTATAATTATCTCTTTCCTTAAAAAATGGTCAGAAGTTGGATATAATAATTATAATATGATTTAATGAAAAATAATTAAATTTATTATTATAATAGTAAATAAAGTTGTTGGATAATTGTAGAATGAAAAATGGATTATATAAATATATTTTTTCTTAAAAAAATATCATGATTAATAAATAATCAAGCTAAAGTCGACAATTTATATATTAATAATAAATGGGATTGTTAAATAACTATGAGATGAAAAATGGATTATATAAATATCTTTTTATTTAATGAAATGATCATGATTTATAGACAATTAAGTGAATATATTAACATAATAATTGTAATATGATTTAATAAAAAGAAAAATAATAAAAAATTATTATTATAATAATAGATAGGATTGTTGGATAAGTGTAGGATAAAAAAAATAAAGTGTACAAATATTAGGAAGGATAAATTTAATATGACAAGAATATATATAAAAAAAGTATTTAATGATAGTTGGGAATAATTTATAATTTAAAAAGGTCTAAATTAAATTCCTCAAAATTTAAATTCTATTTTAGAAATTTCATTATACAACTAGCAAAATCAATTAAAATTAATAAGTATTATTATTTCATAATATATGATATCATTGTAAATTCTTATGTAGAATATATAATTTACTAGGATATATGATTTTCATAATCTATGAAAATTATTTTATATAAATAAATAGATAAAATTTATATATCTTTCTGTATGGTACTTGAACAATTAAATAGAATAGTTTAACTTTGACATATGATGTCTAAAATTTGAGTTAATATTAGTTATAATTGGTCTAAAGTCAGGTATAATATGTGGTAGAATTAACATTAGTTTTATTCTTTGGAAGTATTATTTTACAAAACACATTTTCAGATATAAGAGCATATGGAATCAAAACCATATTAAGAAGGAAGTGATTTCAAATTTGAATCTTATTCTAATTTAACTTTATATATTATTAATCACACAAATTTCATTGCACAAAATTTGTTGAAGCACTTTTATAATAATTTTTTAAAATATTCTACTAAAAATAAAAATAAATATTTAAATTAAAATTATATATTTTTAATTTTCATATTAAATTTATTTATAATTAATAAAACACAAAGATACTTGTGTGTTTAAATTTTTTATAATATTATTTTGTTTTTGTTTTTCTCTTTTCGTTCTTTAAATATATTCACTTTTTCTATTTTTCTTTTTATCATATTTTTTATCATTTTTAAAATATACAAATCATGATAACTTTTTTTTTTTTTAAATTATAATACTTCTATCTCTCTCATCCATGAGAACAAAAGAAGGTTAAAAAAAATCACGTTTTATATATATAGAGAGATGGATAAATTATTATATTTGTTAACAATAGAAAAATAAAGTTAATAATAAAAATAAATATCATTTTTGTAATATCGTTATCAATATATTTATAATATTTATCTATTTTTTAATAAATTTTTAATACATCAAGCATGACGAGGTAATAATAATTGTGATCTGGAATTTTGCACTATGCATTAATCCATGGAGTAAGGCACAGGTAAAAAATTCAAATCACCACCAGGAAACCAGGTTCCTCTGGCTAGGTAAAACAATGGACATGTTGTATACAGTTCTACCAACCTGCCCTAATGCATACTGATATAGTGCACACGAAACGTGGCCCTAATGCATACTGAGCATTTTCATAAGTCCTGACTATAGTTACAACTCCCTTCTTGGGCATGAAAAAGTAAAATGGGCAGCCAAATACATTAACTCCAACCATTGTCAGATATAAGAGGTCAAAACTCAAATGTACAAAGCCACAGCCTTACTCCAGTGATCGGAGAGGCTTTGCTGATGATAGGGGCTAAAATATAGTGAAAATTCTATCTAACGGCAATAAGGAAAATTCTATCAACATATTCTTGATTAAAAAAATTGTCCTGTTGCCAGAATTCTTGCATCCATTTCCTCCTATATTCAACAGTCAGGCAGGAAGTGAATGTCTCTGTCTAATAGAATTCATCTGAGCACCATCAACATACATTCTCATCCAAGAAATGAATGTACAGTCAGTGTATCATGTTGTTAAAGTGTTGCCATGATCAGATGGTAGACGGAATGGAAAGTGCGCAAACTGTATTTTTAGGGTTGGTGAGTCAAGCTTTTTATCATCAAACTTGTAGCCTGCATCAAATTTTACCCTTGAGTATACAACACACATATATATATATATATGGTGAGTCAAGCTTTTTATCATCAAACTTGTAGCCTGCATCAAATTTTACCCTTGAGTATACAACACACACACACACACACATATATATATATATATATATATATATATATATATATATATATATGATTAAGGGCCTTTTAATTTAAATTTCAAATTGACAATTTACAAGCAAAGGCTAAGTTTATCTGGAGTAGCATACCTTCAAACAAACATTGTACATCTAGATTTATACTTAATACATGAAAGCAATATGAGAAATTTACCTGTAAAATTCAACTTTTTTGGATGATAATAAATTATATTAAAAACATAGCTATTGTCATCCAAAACAGAAGATGTTTTTGGTGAAAACACAATTCACATACAATAAACTTAGTTACTCAATCTCAGTCCAATAATATCAAAGAAGATATCTACAATATAACGTGTTAGATATCTAAACTGTCAATTCAGTTTAAGTTTATTATTCATTCGTTACGAGTGTTGTTAAGTTATCGTTTTACTTATAGATAGTTGGCATTGTAGTGATACTTGACTTAGAAGATTGACATTAAATAAGTGTTAGTCACACCCACCATAGAATCAGAGCCCATATCCACTTGCCTTCCCTCATATTCCTATTTTCCTAACATCCTCAGTATTATTCATAAATATGAAACTGAACTATATGCAATCCAGATAGAAAAAAACCTTGCAGGGCTTCCAGCGCAGTGAGAGCACATTTGGAGTCAACAAACTCCACAAAACACAAAGTCATAGCCTTGTCTCCACTCTGCAACGTCCAAGACATTTAAAAACGATTCATTATTCATAATAAATGTAGCAAAAAAGAAAATATGTAGATTAACACTCTATACTAAATAACTACCTTCCAAAGCTAATGTATTACTAACAAGGTGTTAGAATCCAAGACAAGTCGCAGAATGAAAAAGATGTGTGAGCTCGGCAATTCTCACTTAGGCCCACAAATTGAAGAGTTTATAATAAGAGAAATAGAAGAAAGGTAGAAATATCTAATGAACTTGCAGAGAGAGAGAGAGGAAGAAAAGGAGAGTTATTTACAAATTATTTGGTTTTTATACAGCGTACGGAAAAGAGTAAGGGATATTGAATAGTATGTTTTGGGTTTTATGAGTGAAGAGTAATACCTCTCTAAGAGTTTTGCTCTAGGCAGTAGGGATTTTTTCCTACTGCTTTTCATTTTCTTTATAATATTCGTATAAGTTTTCCTTCTTCATTCTCTCGCTGCTAGTTAATTCAGTTCCGTTTCACAAGGTAGTGAAACTCAAGATTCTATAATTCAGACCAGAAAGGAGATACTGAATTGTAAATCTGGGAATGTAACATGATGCTGAAGATTCTACAACTAATACTTAATTAAGCTTAAATTTATAATCTTATATTAATAACCATAAGAAAGTAAACTACTAAACTCTATACCGAACTCAACTCACAAGTCATAAATGGCAGACAAAGCAACTTAAAATATTGTGGTAGTGCTTAGTGACTACTACTCCTTGTATAAATCACAAAACATGAACACCTAGACTAATCCTCTAAAGTAGATCAATCCAAATTAAAATCACAATCACTCAAGGGATTCTCATTTCTACCATCTAGCAAGATAAACCAGTGAAATTGAGAAAGATAACCGGTGAACCACACAAACAAAGCTACAGAGGCAGAGGAAACAAACATAGAGTCAGACCACTTCAAGAACGTGGAGGAGAAGAGTTTCAATCACAGTGATTCATGCAACAATATTGGGGTTTGGGTTAGTGAGGACATAGATTTCGTACGAGAGGTTGATGAATTGCTATAAGTGAAAGTGTTTTCCTTGATTCGTAGAGATGGGGTTACAAAAAGGTTGGTTATGGGGCTTGGGTTTTATGACCTTAGGTTGTTTGAAGGCCAAAATGAATAAAAAAAGAGAAACTTGATCCAACTCTAAAAGTGGGCGAACAAAAAGTTATCCACACAAACTCGGGGAACATGCCAATTCCACCGTTTTCAAAATTCCACAGCAAGTCTACGATTTCCTGAGCAACAATTCTAAACATGAACGAACTTGCCAAGGAAAAACAGAAGAGTAGAATGGCACAATTCTACACGATTTTGACTACCATGATTACTAACCAGAGGAATGTTGCAACCAAGTGAGAGGCATTGGCATATTCCTCAAAAATACATAATAATCATTGCATCATTATATATTTTTTCTCTTTCCTAGACATGACAATTAAATTTGATTGTACAATATTGAAATAGACTAAAAAAAATCAACATTTAAATTCTTAATTAACACACTTACACGTCTAGGCTCCTTGTGAACAACTCTTATATCCTTATAGCCAATAAAGGGGCGGAAAAGATCTTTGGGTCCAGGTCAAGGCTTCATATCAACATAACAAAATACAAGCTATGTTTGGAGATGTATTTTGGAGGAAAAGAGAAAGAAGGGAGATTTTTTCATATTTTAATTGACTTATGTAGTGTTTATAAAAACAAATAGAAATTTAACCTCCCTTCTTTTTCTCTCCAAAATTCCACTCCCAAGCATATCCTTAAAGTTAATTTGGACACCAAGTGACTTAATTTTCATATGCTTCTAAACTTATATGGCAAGTTATTGTCCACGTGATGTTTTAGCTCAACTGAGAAATAAAAAGTGGCTACAGAGGATCTCATATAGTAAACCGAATACAATTAATTTCAAAAATGCTTTCTTCCTATCTATTATTGCTATGTTTGGAACAATAACCAATATGCAAAGAATACAAGCTGACATATAAGCCACAAAGGATACGCCCAACTTCCCTTCTAGTGCAATTATTTGGGAGTCCACCCACAAACAGAATGTTCGAGTCCACTGCCGAAACAGGCAGACCATCATAACTGCTTTTAGATGATGCTCTTTCACTGTTTACATCAGGAACCCCATGATTAATGCCTAGTGGTGTCTTATCTCGTTTTTTACTCAGATCAGGATTTGAAAGAGGTGAATAACCCTTAACAGGCTCAGAATGAACCCTGGGTCCCAAGGTATCATCAGCACTGTAAAACAAGCCTATCTGCAGAAACAATCAAAATTAAACATGAAAATTCATCTCCCACATGCATCACGTAATAACTCAAAATATACTTATAACTGTTTTACGTCTCTCTGCAGGTAATCTGATCCAATGTCCCGCAATTCAGTAGAATTTGAAGGCTCAGATGGAATATAACCAGCAAAGCTGGTCCTTGCAATGCTTGCTGACAGAACCAAAACAATGGTCAAAACATGATCATTTTCAATAAGAGTTTAAAGTTTTTACTTGAACAGTATAGTTGTTGTCATTTAAAGCTTTAGTCCCTGCACAAAAATAAGTTTTAGTCCTTACACAGCTTTTTGCGGTGTTTTAACACCACAAAAAGCTCTCGTGGCGGATTCTAGAGTATTTGTTTCAAGGTTGGAAACCATCCAAAAGACAAAATCTTGCTTTAAGGTTTAAGTCCATTTATTCTTCAATTTTCCAAACATGCACTCTAGACCGTCTAAAAGTTTTCTCTGTTCAGTTTATAACGGTTTAACCATCAAAAAGTTTTTTTTTTTTTTGGTATTCTGAATGAGGATCAAAACTTAACCAACTTTTGTAACGTGGACTAGAAACTACAGTTTTCTTGTATAAAAACTAAAACTTGAAATGGAGACAAGTATAAGAACTAAGTGAAGAGTTGAAACTTAAAAAACATAAGAAACATAATCTTATTACTGGTACTGGTTTTGTCCTGCATATAACTCATTTAGGGTTTTAGCAATGAAGAATAAGAGCAATTGTTGAAATTAAGGAAACATGTAAAATTGGTTTGGATTTTCTATTTCTACATATTTGAGCCGCGAAAAATTAATTATAAAATGGACAAAATTAGTTGGGATTTGTAAAAGTAGGGAATATTAGTGAATACCTCCTTCGGCTGCCGCAGGAGCACCATATGAGTAATAGGGATCCGCCATAGACACTCAGCTTCTCTCTCCCTCCCTCCCGCGACTGTGGGAATAACAGAAGAAAGATATCAATGAGTAAAGGTAACTCAAACTCCCTAATATGGCAAAACGGGCCAGTTGTTCCTCTTTCGCCCGTCTCGGGTCCGTAAAAACAAAACGGGCTGGTCGGTAATAATTAGGGCGGACCAGTCCGGGGAAAAGGCGGTCCAGTACGTGAATAATTTCTTTTTATATAAATATATATATATATATATTTTTAATTATAAAAATAAAATTTAAGTTTTTATTTATTAATTATTATTTTATTAAATAAACTGAAAATATATGTATCAAAATAATTAATAATTTAAATTTAATTAATTAATTTTTATAATTTAAATTAAAATATTATAATATATTTATATATTTTAATAATATAATATACAAATCAAAATTTTTTATTTATAATTTTATTTTAACAAAATAAAACGGATAAAAATATACGGAGGAAGTAAAATTAATTTTTATTTTTTATTTAATCTCCTTATTATTTTCAGACTCAATTTCATCTCGTGTTCTTAAATCAAATTATTTGATTTATTTAAATTATTTAAGGATAAATATTATATGATAAGGACGTGACCATTTTTATATAGTAACGTAATTTTGACAATATATTATTCTTAATATATTTGATATATATATATATATATTAACATACTTTTATATTAATGTAATATTTTATTACATTCGTTTCACACAATACATTTTATTTAATTTAACAAAATTGATAATTCAAGAATATATAAATATTTTAAAAATATTAATTAATTTTTTCATTAGCATTTAAACTATATATTATTCTTATCAAGCAAGACTTGTTATGTATCAATGTACATCTCAATTTAAACATGTATGTCTCTATTTATATTATATTTTTCTAATAATTTAATAATTAGGGGATAAAATAGAAATAGTTAAAAAAGTTTTAGTATTTAGAAAATACTTCATATTCAATTCTTTTTGGAATGTAGAAATATTTTCATCCAATGCATTTATTTATTTTTTTTCAAAAAATGTGTTTCGATGAGATTTATATTGAGAAAAATTATCAAAAATATACCTATAGAATTATCAAGTACACCGAACAAATCATTTAAAATAAATTGAATTACAAAGCAACAAGTAATTTTTTTCAAAAAATACATATAAACTGCTGTTGGCGTTGTTTTTGCCAGTGAGAATATACTTTTATTTGTTTAACTTTGTATATTTTTTTATTATTATCATTTTAAATATTTGGTTTTTATGTAAATTATAAATTGCGAGAAGAATAAGTCATTGTAAAAAAAATATTCATCCATATTTCATTGAAGTTTTTGTTGGGCGCCAACACATGAATACTTTATCGAATATACAAGTAATTATTTTTACTTGAAAAAAAAAACATACTTGCATATGAAATTCTTTTCCTTTCTATAAGACAATATCTGAGTTTTTTTCACATGACAGATTTTTTTTCTTAAAAATAAACACGATTGAAATTCAGCTTTTTAGATAATTATTTTAATTTAAAGATTTTTAGAAAAATGACAATGTTAATTTTAAAACATTTTAGATTAATATAAGCTGTATATAGCAAAGAAGATAAAATAAATAATAAAGAGACAAATTCACGGTATATTTCTCTCGTTTCGGTATTTTTCTCAATTTTGTTTTATAAACTTATTTATTATTTATAAAATAATTTATTTTCTTTCTTCAATGCCATCCATCTTTATTTAGATATAAGATATACGCTTATATCATTACCTACAGAAAATGGAATCACAGCCATTAAAAAATAAAAATAAAAATAAAGAGCAAGACAAAACTTGGACTAGTTGTCGAAGTGACTGTTTGGCCATATATCAGAAGCACGTTCTAGGTTAAAATAATTGGGTTGAATTTATGTTAATGTTGTTTGACCACCTACATAAAAGTTAAAGTGAAAATGATTGAATCAAGATAAGTAGTTTAATAAATAATAATATTACACAAACTTGTTCTCAGATATGAAATTACGTTTTTAAATATTTAAAATATAATGACGTTTTATCTTGTAAATAAATTATTCGTTAAAATATTTGTTGTAATATATTCTACAAATAATTTGTGAAATTCTCTGTCCCATATCTATCGGTCATTTTGATCTTACTTTATAAATTTATTTAAACAACTCTACTAATTTAGAATTTTAAAATAGCCAAATAAAATAAATTAAATAATCAGATAAAAGTGTAGCACATTTTTAACACGAAACAATTCATTAAAGTTAACTTTCTAATTTTAATATTTTCTCTCCATAGAATCATGGTCCACCCCATGTGCTAAATGACTGTATATATAAATATTAGATAAAAAAAGTGTATACGTTTGTACCTCCAAATTTTACTGTTATCTTTCAGCCTCCATTTAATAAGAATATATATATATATATATATATATATATATATATATATATATATTAAAATAAAAAATTGATCAAATAAATTGTTTAATTTTTTTTAACCTAACCTAACCAGTGTTGTCATTTTTTGTTCACCGCGTTATTGTTGCATATTCGGGGTATAAATAGAGAAGGTTAGGCTAGGCTTTATTAGGTTTGAGTTTCACATGCTGTTATATGTTTTTCAAAAGTTTGATCCAGTATTTGGTTTAACGTACAAATTAATTTATTATATATATATATATATATATATATATATATATATATATATATATATATATATATATATATATATACGAATGCATATACAAAAGTGAAAAAATTATATTAGACTTTATAATTTAACTGATTTATACGTTTGATATGTATTTTAAAGTTAACATGATATTCATCACCCCCTATTTAATATAACATTTTTAACAAATTAAAATTTATCAATAATATGATTTAAATTTTAATATATTAATTATTCTGATATGTTAACGGGTATGTAAATCTGATATTATTTGTAAATCTGATATTATTTAAGAATTGAAATTAATATAATTTATATATATATATATATATATATATATATATTTCTATTTTTTTATCGAAATATTTTTTAATAATATAAAATTATAATAAAAAATTCCAATAATATGATAATACCTATGATAATTAATTCAATATATATATATATATATATATATATATATATATATAAACACTTTTAAAGTTACTTTTTAAGAATTACAGTCTTACTTATTTTTTTATTAAGTTCATTATAAAAAAAAATTTAAATATTTGCTTTTTCTATAAAATATCCTTAAGTAGCTTGAGTTTGTTGTGAATTTGATCATAAACTCATATTGAATTAACTTATTATCAACAGATTATGTTGTATTTCAGAATAAATAGTTTATATTACACCTTTTGCTCAGTAGACAACATATCAATAATATTTATAATTAATAAAAAGAACTATTTAAGATCAAACACATGATCAACACATTTTGTTTTTCTTAAAATTGTGTTATACACGAGTCTAAAAATGGAATCTTAATCAACATTATTAAAAAACTCGATTATTTATCCATTATGTTAGATTTTGTTAATAATTTAATAATGCTTTGAAATATTATTTAATATGTTTGCTTCTTCTATAAACAAAGTATTAAACTGGGATAACTGTAACTATCAAGCCTCGAAATCCAAATTCGGAACTCTCTCGTATAAATTTTTTTTTGTTCACACAAAAAATATTAAAACGTGTTTTACTTAATGTAATTAAAAAAAATTATAAATATTATACATATAAAATTTTATATAACAGCTTAAAAAATATTTTGTTGAGAAAAATAAAATAAATTTTTTAAGGTGTTGCTTAAAAAAATTGGTGGACTCGTTGGTAGGTGCGAGTGGAGGTGACACAGCGAAGTTTATTATTATAGAAAAAAGAAAAAGAAATAGAAACAGATAGAATAAGAGTGTGACAACTCATATCCAGTGATGAAAATGCATGCATACCGCGAAAGCTCACTAAACACAACCACATCGCACCGCACCTTAACCCATAACACAACACCACCAACCAATCACAGTGCAGAGAATTTAATCAAAAGAAACGTCCCGAGCAAGGAGAGTGGGTGCCACGACCCAATCAACACCCATCACCCTAGGCCCCACTCCTCGTTGTTCTCATGTACTAAAAATCCGCAAATTTCATTTATGACAGTGACAGCGACGCTCTCTCCTACCGCATTGCAGAGTGTTCCACACGCTCCTTTCCCAGCGCGTTGTGTCCTCCCTGCAACATACTTTTTCATTAATCTACTCCAAGCCTCGTTCCCCTGCGCCGCGACGCACGCACCTTCGCCTGCGTCATGGAACTAGATTCCGCCACGTAATGAACTCGGAGTGTTTGCTGAGGATGCGAGGGAGGTGCAGGGGATTAGGGTGGGGGGTGTATGCGTGGGAGCTAAATCCGTGCCTTTTTCTTTAATGCATCTTTGCCATCATCTCCTCGTTGTTGCAATAAATAAGAGCTCCAGGGTGTTTTGTAGAGAGAGAAAGTGCGTGTGTCGAGGGTAGAGAGAGAAAAAAGCTTGAGAAGAATCAGATAGGTTAGATTTATTTACATAATAATAAAGAATAGATACACTTGGAGTTGGAGTTACACATTATTCTCTCTCTCACTCACACTCAGAGTGGTAGACAAACGCTCACAGCGAGAGAGAAAGAGAAAGATGGAGGATCTCGAGGAGGAAGAGAACGTAGCGGAGGAGGTGTTGGGGTCAAGCTTGACCATGGAGAAGGTTGCGGCGGCGAAGAAGTTCATTGAGAATCATTATAGGGCTCAGATGAAGAACATCCAAGAGAGGAAGGAGAGGTACCGAAATTGTTGATTATTCAAATTTCTTCTTATTTCTTCAGCTATTTTGGAACGCCAGTGTTTAGGGAACTTAGTTCTTTCGTTGAAATCGAGCCCAATGCTAATTCAGGGTTAGATCTTATTATTTAATTACCTTTTTTAACTTGTTATGCCTTGGTAGCTGAGGTAATCTAAGTGTTAATCACTGTATTTGGGCTTCGTACGCCCATAATTGATAATTGCTCAATTTAACTGTTTCTTGTGTGAATCTGTTTGGTTTGATTAGTGATTTTTAAAGTAATCCATAATTGCATACTCCATTTGCTTTGTTTGGAGGCTTTGGTTCTTGAGTTGAAGTTAATGCATAGGGTATTTGATACACGGGAATCAATCCGTTCACATATTTGGCGTGAGACTCGATGGAAGGGTTTTATTTGGTCTTCCCAGTGTAGAAGCTTGGGTCTCTTGGTTTAAGTAAATGCCATGGTATATGATCTAGGCTCTTGATGATAATCCCCATTTTAATTTCCCAATTCTTGTCAGCCTAAGTTGTCGGGAGTACATATGTAATCTATAAATGTTACATCAGTACAGTTGATCAGTGAGTGAGAAGAAGCCCAAGTACGTCGTCGAGTATCACCGCACTCCTCAACTTGATATCTGTATGCTTGCTTTGGTTTGATATTTTTTGTCAAGCTGTGAATCTATGATTTAGTTACCTTCTCTTTTTATGGTTAACTAACTAGGACTCAGCATGTTCGCTATTTTGTCCTTTTTTACTTTTGCCATCATAATTTAACTATTTTTGTTAGTGTCTGAGTAAGATTTATACAATAAACCCTGATCTACAAAAATATGGGCGAGATTAGACTGATTGCATTAACTTAAAAAACTGAAGATAGTTGATCCCGTAAAGATAGATGAGAGTATGAATATTTTCTGCATAATTCCCAAAAACTAACTTTGGCGCTACCCTTCATCCTTATCATTTTGTTTACACTGCACATCCCTAGGAGCATTTGTTACTCGTGGTTACATTCATCTTTAATCTCTAAATCTCATTGGTTTCCTAACTTCATGTCTTGCCCTGCTCTGAGCAATTGAAGTCTCTTCCTCAGTTTGTTGTTGTGTCCAGTTGTTGATCTGATCTACCATGTCAGCATATTAGTCAATGCTAGTATGACCGTATCATAATCATACAACTTTTTCACATATGTGTTGGGTTTGGCGACTTCTCAGCCACCTTTTTTCCAAAATTCACTTTAAACTCACTAGATTTACTAAATTTTATTTCTACCAACAGATGTCCTTCCATTTTATGCCATCTGGAAAGCATAGCAAACAGCCACACAATTTTGACACATCACCTCATTGGTAATTTGATGGCAAGGACCAAATTAAATGGGAACTAAAATTAAAGGACAATATCGATGCAATGAAAAAACATGGCTACTAAATAGGAATAAACATATGTGTCAACCTACTTAGAATTATAAGCAAAGACTATCATATCTTTAAACTGATTGAGCATTCTGGTCTCTGTTAATAGATTATTTGCCTCCTCTTTTTATAGCTAGACAACTTGAACCTTGGATGTTGTTTATTGCTCTTTTTTACCTTTTACCTTCGTTTGGTCATAGATAATAATTTAGCTATATTTGTTAATGTCTTGAGTAAGATTATACAATCAACCCTGATCTATAAATATGTGGGCCGACTTAGATTGACTGCATTATTAAAAAGACTCTAGATAATTAATCCCATAATCATACAACCTTTTCATAGTAGTTTTTATATATTCTTTTTTCTATCAACGGGTGCCTTTCCATTTTCATGCCATTTAATGAGCATAGCAAAAAGCCACACAAACACCTCATTTGGGTTGATGCCAAGTGACCAAATTAAATGGGGACTGAAAGTAAAGGACTACATTTATGCAATCATAGACTGGAAGGGATAAATATTTGTCTCTTACTACTTAGAATCATAAACAGGGACAATGATATGTTTATTCTATAGATTGAGTTTTCGGGTCTTCGCAAATAATTAAAGTTATTTGCTTTGGAATTATCTTCAACACTATGGATGAAGTAATCATGTCTTTCTTTCAATTTTTTGCTTTGGAAGGTAAGTCAGTTTACCATGATGCTTGTGTAGCCATAAATGAATGAAATCATAATATTTAATGGCTTGATCATATGAGGTATTTGTCACCTTGTTTGATATGACATTATAGTTTGGCCTAATGTTGTCACAGTGAAACAACCTAATTCACACTCTTTCCTTTGTGAGCGCCATCTGAAAATAGAAACAGTTGAAAATGCTATTGTATCTTGGCCTCTGTTCTAGTGCCCATGCTTATTTATTTTCCTAAACCGTCTCTAGTATGGTGCAAATCTTTGTTCATCTTGTGTTTTGGAGTTGCTGATGCTGATGATTTGTTTTATTCCAGGCGTTGGGTGTTAGAAAGAAAATTAGCATCTTCGGATGTGCCAAATGAGGAGCGAATCAACCTCATCAAAGATTTAGAGAGGAAGGAGACTGAATATATGCGATTGAAAAGGCACAAGATTTGTGTTAATGATTTTGAACTCTTGACCATCATTGGAAGGGGGGCTTTTGGGGAGGTCAGTACTGACCTGGCATGCATTTTTGTGCATGAAAGGGTTGTAGTTGGATAAGATGCAATGTATTATTGTGTTGTTTTCAAATGGAAAAATTGTTTGTGCTTACTGCATACTATGTAAGGGTTATTTCTAGTATTATTTTATGCTAACTTGTCCAATTACAGGTTAGACTGTGTCGGGAGAAGAAATCGGGAAATATTTATGCTATGAAAAAGCTGAAGAAATCTGAAATGCTTAGGAGAGGCCAGGTGGGAAATATACAATGTGCTGAATGAAATTGCTAATGGATGCATATTCTAGATGTAAATAATAGTCTTGACATGTGATTTAGTATTCTATGTAGTCCTTTAAGGTTTTGTTATGCCTGAAATGTACGATTCCAAACCCATTAATGGGTGATACTGTCTTCATTTGGGATGGATTATCCATGTTAGTGGATGACTAAAATGTCTTGAAGAATGCTTAGTTGCAACTTTATTTACATGAGCTCCATTTTCTTTACAGGTGGAACATGTTAGAGCTGAGAGGAACTTGCTGGCTGAAGTTGCCAGTCACTGCATTGTTAAACTTTACTACTCATTTCAGGATGCTGAGTACTTGTATTTGATTATGGAGTATCTGCCTGGTGGTGATGTTATGACTCTGCTGATGAGGGAAGACACCTTAAGTGAAAATGTTGCTAGATTTTATATTGCACAAAGTGTTCTGGCGATAGAATCTATTCACAAACACAATTACATTCACAGGTTCAGTTTGGCAGTGCTCTTGATGTTGTTAGCGTAATTTGTTATATCAGGGGTGATGGTTTATTGGATGCTGGAATGGATTGTTTTATATGCTAAACAAACATATTAATGTTTGTCAATTTTCATCTATTTTTCAGAGATATTAAACCTGATAACCTACTTCTGGATAAAAATGGTCACATGAAGCTCTCTGATTTTGGTCTCTGTAAGCCTCTTGATTGTATTGCCTTGTCTACACTGCATGAAAATCAGACCATGGATGATGAAACTTTGGCAGAGCCAATGGATGTTGATGGATGTTTGCGAGATGCGGACAATCGGAGCAGCTGGAGAAGTCCACGTGAACAGCTTCAACATTGGCAGATGAACAGGAGGAAGTTGGTATGCTTTTGTTATTTAAACCCAAGAAAATATGTTGATACAGATGATCGATGCTTTCTTATATCATGTTTATGACTCTGTCATTGGTTTCACAGTCTGAGTTTGCATCTGTGGTCTAAATCAAAACTTGCACTGATATATAATATTCCTTTTCTTTATTTGAATGCTAGGATCTAATAATTATTTGTCTTGTTTTTAGAAGGGGGGGGGGTTAAAATGATTAAGAGTTCTTTAAGGGAAAAAATACACCTTTTGAAGGGTCCTAACTCCGAGCTTTTATATTATGAATTATGAGAATGGGGAAGTTCTAAAACTCTTTGGTCCTGTCTCATTGTAGCACGACCCTGTCCCTATATGCAGTCTTATTGTAGGGTTCAGGATACTGTAACTTGGGCTACAATACAATTATTCTCTTTAATAAGACCTTAGTTCTTGATCACGCTTGTTATTGAATCCGTTGCGCATAAATTATGCTTTTCAATTGCATGGTTGCATAGTCTACATTACTACTCCACTTCTTATTCTAATATTGCTGAGATATGAAAACCTTCAGTTTACTCAGTTCCCTTGTTTCTCATTGCAAGGCATTTTCAACAGTGGGGACACCAGACTACATTGCTCCTGAAGTACTTCTGAAAAAAGGCTATGGGATGGAATGTGATTGGTTAGTTCTTACCTGAAGTATTTCTATTTTAGACCTTCTAAATGTATCATCTTGGCTGCACTTTTTTTGATGTATTTAATATGCAAATTCAGTTCTGCTGAGTGTGGAATAACTCTTTTGGCTGATCATTTGAAATTTGTACAATTTTAATTAGCTTGATCATATGGACAGGTGGTCACTGGGAGCAATAATGTATGAAATGCTGGTTGGTTACCCTCCATTTTACTCCGATGACCCAATAACTACATGCCGAAAGGTACCAATCTTAATTGGTTTGATGACTTCTCACTAAAAAATAATAGTTTATTTCATCTCATTTGTAGTTTAATCTGATGGTACTTACCACTTCTTGTCATTTCCTATTGTTACTGCTTGTGTTCTTTCGTAGACTCAAATATTCTACCGCTTTTCTGTATCTTCTCATGAAATCCTGGAAAAACCAAATGGAGACAGGCAGTTTAAGCTGATGTATGACTTGGCACTGTTTCTTGTTGTTAGAACAAGTATTCTTTGAGACTCATTTTTTATCCCCTCTTTCTCTCTATTTCTCTAAATAAAACATGACAACTAGTAAAAATGGAGATAGGTGGCTAAAATCCCGGTGATAGTTTAATTTAAATAGTAAGGAATGGTCGAAAAGTTACCTGTTGGAGGTGTAATAAAACTATTCATGTGCTTTCACTAATAATAACTCAAGCTTTAGGGAGATATGATTTTTGAAATGGTAAAAGATCTTTTGCACCAAAATGGTCGAGCTTGATTTTAAACAAGTTGTTGGTCTTAGCCACCAACATTCTTTTAACTAAATGAAGTTAAGCTCAAGGTAAGTGAACCTCTATATCATCTATATTTCAAGCACAGACAGCCCTTTTGTGAGGGAGAATGTTAGAGAAGTAATTGAACCATCTACGTGTCTTCACCTATTGCTTAAGCTTTTGGAGAGTTGGTCATTGACATTTCGTGATAAAGATCAGTTTAGTATTTTTTTCTGATTTCCCAAACATTATTTGACCATCTTTATGACTTCTTATAACTACTGTCAATACTTTATATCCGTAACCATATTATTTTAGGACCTTTCTGTTATTTTACCAGAGTCAGAGTTCCAAGATTCTGTTCTTTTTGATTGGCACTAAATTCACTAATTGTTTTCAGATTGTTCACTGGAGACATCATTTAAGATTTCCAGAAGATACCCAGTTAACACTCGAGGCCAAGGATCTAATTTATAGGTTGCTATGTGATGTTGATCATAGGTTAGGTACTCGAGGGGCCCATGAAATAAAGGTATGGTGTTTGTTTTATTTTAATTATTATAATATCGCCGTGATGTTGTGCCACTCTTTTTTCTTTCCCTGTCATGTACTTAATATACATTGTGTACACCAGGCTCATCCTTGGTTCAATGGTGTGGAGTGGGATAAGCTCTATGAAATGGAGGCAGCATTTAAACCTCAAGTCAACGGGGAGCTGGATACCCAAAACTTCATGAAGTTTGATGAGGTATAAACACGAACTTATCATGCTATCCCCAATTGTTGCCCATTCTATATATTCTCTTACAGCAGAACTGGTACGAACTGTCGGAACAACTTCAAATATCTAACTTTGTTTATAATCATTGTTGCGTCAATATTATCGGGAGTAGGGGTGTAAGTGGGTTGCACCCAACCTTTGAACCCATCCAACCCAAATTCATTTCATGGGTTGAATTGGATCATCGGATTGGGTTGAGTTTTTTTAATGTACCCAATTAGAGTTGGGTTAGGCAACATTCATGAGTTATGATGAATCCAACCCAATCAAACTACATGATATATATATTATTTATTTATGTGTTATAAGTATTGTTATCTTCTAAATATTAAGAAACATAAAAAATATTTATTTTGATGTATTTTCTTATAAGGTGATAATTTTTTTTTTAAATTACTCAATCCGATGACCAACCCATTTATAACAGGGTTAGGTTAGACTGTGTTAAATAAAAAGGTTAAACCTAACTCAACCCAATTAAATTTAATTGGATTGAGTCGAAAATTAGATTAGATTAAATTCAACTCAACCCGACCACTTGCACCCCTACCAGCAATTTAGCTTGACGAGACATAGTTTCTCTTGTTAAATCTAGGTTTGTCTGGATTATATATTTTTAAATGTTAATACTTTTCATGGCCAATATGGAACTTTTAAAATAAAAAAAGGTTCTGGTAATTGCTAAAAGCTAGGATTGTGGCAGCTTCTGAGAATCTTTGTACTAAAGGTGACGATTTACCTATCACGGGCAGTTAATGTTTTGGATCTATTTTCCCTTCAATTTTTCCACTTAAATGACATATTTAGAAGTATTCCTAGTTGCGTGTAAATTCCATGTTTATGTTGTGTAATTGGCTGTTGAAAAGCCTTCATTGTATTCTTTGTTGAATTGTTAGGTGGATCCACCAACAGCGGCAAGAAGTGGGTCTGGATCCTCACGAAAGGTACAGTTATTTGAATTAGTTTTGTTTACATAATTTTCTTCATTTAAATGTCGCTATCAATTGTTGCATGTGAAGACGTGTTACGGACTTGCTTGAGTAAATCACAAAAAACTTTTAGAAGAAAATAAAAATCAAACAAATTTCTCCAAAAGCTAAAATTAGTTTAGTGGAGAGGAGGGTACAGCAATCGTAAGAAAGGACATGATTGTGCGGTGTGCGGGGGGAGTGGCTGGGGTCACAGGGCAGAGAATGCACTGTTTCTATCTATGTCTATGATATCTTTCTTTTTGGTTTTATTTTATCTCTCTACTGCAATTTACGTTGTAGTGAGAGCTTGTTCTCTTAATTTCCTTCTTACCGTTAGTGATGCATGATCATACATGTTATGTTTTGAATCGTTATCCTTCTTTCTTATTGGAATCAAGATTTTGAAAAACGGTCGATGACAATTTTGGCCATAGTGTCATTTACTACCATCACTCTGATTGTGTGACCCCCATTGTGACTGTATTGGGCCCATTTATCTGCAATTTCCTACGATATCAAGAAAAACTAAAAAGCTGGGACAGATTAGTCAACTGTTCTTCTAAGTTTGTTTTCTTTTTAATCTTTCGTTTCTTTGATGTTAGTCATACAGTGGGAAGCAACTCTTCGTCTCTAGTGTCACTACCCTTCTTCTAACCTTCCTCTGCTTGGTTAAACATTTTAATTGCAAGGTAGGTATTATGCTCTAATTGCAAGGTAATGAACTTGCACCCCACACAGCAAGTACGGGATTATATTGTGAGGTTATGAGGTCTTACGCCTTCCACAGAGATAGCTATTGTGATGTGGTTCTCCAAAAATTTTACTAATTGGTATTAGAGGCTTTCACCATGTCTCTCAACTGTAAACCAGCAGCGCGGGTCTTGACACTTATATTGTAGAGTTTGTCCAGGACTGTAATCACAGACTAGTGCCAGTCCATATAATAGGCCTATGGAATGTGGTGGGATGTTAAGAACCAATTCCAAGGTATGGAATTCTAGGGTAAAGTGATATATAAGGCTTTAGGATATCGTACTGCTGTAGTTAGTTAGCTTTTGTGGTGTGGTTCTCCGCCCTCTCAAGATTCTTTATAAGAAGGATTTTGATCTCAAGTCCTTACACTCACTTAAAAATACTTCACCAGTTACTTATCAATTTGTTTTGCCCTTTTGCTTTACCGTTTATGAACATGAGTAGAGAGTCAGAAGTCTTTATTTGATTTTTCTGGTTCATAGTAGGGGAGTATTTCTCGGACTACCATAGACGTCCAGTTAATAGCTAATTTTTTTACGCTATAAATAAAAATTAATTTTCGGTAATGATTATTATAACAGTCAACAAACTGACTATACACTATTGTTCTTTGATGAGGTGACAAAATTAAAGGTCTTTCCACTGTCAGTGCATTGATAATTTATTCTTCTTTTCTGTCCTTTTCTTTTAGTGTATAGATTATCCATCAAGTATGGCATTCAATAAATTGTTAACTTGCGTATTTTTCATTTCAACGTATCTGTCATGCACCTTGCTAGTTAGGCAAAATGGCATAATTTGATGTTTCAACTTCCACCTAATTCGTACAGATGCTAACTACCAAAGATCTAAGCTTCGTTGGTTACACTTACAAGAACTTCGATGCTGTAAAGGAAGGGCTTCGTCAATCTTTTGGTATGTAATGTAGAATGACTTTTTATTGTGTCTATTGATGACTTTTTATTGTGTCTATTGATGACATTCTGTGTCTTCTTTTTTTCAATGTACGTGTGCATATCAAGCTGAGTTTTCGTATCATTTCAAAATAATTTTACTATTGAACATGCTAGGTCAAACTAGTTGTAGAGTTCCTGAATAATTCGCTGGCATAGGATAGGGATCAAAACGCTTTTGCATGAAGGACCCAAGGATTAACACTTGTGAAATTTAAGTTTAGAAGCACTAAATTGGGTTTGGCATGAAACAATTTGAACGAAACTTGAAGAGGAGCTACATTAATCCAGCAGTTAATTAAAGTTGATCATGTTAATGATCTACTAACTATTTGCAGGTGATTCCATGCAAGATTATGCTTCTAAACGGGCAGCTGAAGAAACAAGTTTACAAATGCTTGCGTCTTCTGGAGATCCCATGTTACCATAACTTGGTGCAAATTGAAGTCCAACGTGTTGAGTTTTTGTGTACTTGCTTTGGCTTTAAATATCGGCCAAGAACATGTATTATGGAACCTTAATTCCTCTGCCATTTGCAAGAACAATGTGTACAGCAAGTAGTTGAACAGCATTGTCAAAGCTTGTAGGGAAACACCGTGTGCATTTTAATTTTAAACTTAGGAACTGAGAGTTGTGCGACTGAGTGCTCCTGTCCTGGCTGCCCAGGTTGGCTGTGGAAGACTTGCCTTCTCTAGTGGCAGTTGCTGGTTAAATGTTAGTTATGGACAAATTGCCGAGGAACCATTAAAGCATCCTGAAAATTATTCGATGTGATGTGTACATTTATTGGAAGATAGCAAAAGTTAAAGCATTAAAACAAAGACTATGACTGGGGATGGATCATTGTATTGTCTTTAGCTGCTCAGTTGCATGCCCTTTACCTATATCAATTTTATGCTGAATAGTGCACTTAGTGATGTCAACCTCATTCGCCTGTTCACTGGGTAATTGCTTGAATTGAATGAATGCGACCAACATTGTTGCTAAATCCCTAACACCCCACTAAGGATTGGGCTTGAAGCGGATGGCCAACCATTTTGTGCTTTGTTTATCCGTTGTGAGTACTCGTCATTTTCTTTTATGAAGAAAAAGTTTCTTCCCTATTTTACATCTTTTTTGGTGGTTAAGAAAAGAGATTCAATCTTCCAAGTGAAATGTATGGCCGAGATATCTTATAGAAAGAGATCATCCCAACTTCATTCCTTGAATAAAAATTAAATAAACTCGTCATCAAGAGTGTTGTTGATTGTTTCTATTCTACATCCTCTAGGGTAAACTCTGGTATTATTCCTAGAATTATAAACGTCAATCACTTCCATTTTTAACCTTTTCAAAATTCTTAATCAATTTTTTATTTTGTAAAATGTTACTTATTCTAGTTATTATATTAATGAAAGGTGATTTCAAAAAATATTCAAGTGAATGGATTTTATTACAAGTAAGGTTACATAAAAATTCAATTGTCTTTAAATATTGGTATCTTTTCCTTAAAAACGAGGATTTGACATAAATCAAGTATTTAAATTGGTTTAGATATATTCTGTTTTTCAAAACATTTTTTTTATTCATTCATGTTGTTTCTACTCGTTATATCAATTGTAGGAATAAATAAAATAATACTTATAATTTTAATACATGGAATGTTTGTTTTGTTTTATATTTTAAGCTGATGAATAGTATGATAACAACAATACACGGCAAGAATCCATTTTTAAATGATTAGACGGTCTAATTTAGACCTATAAAAATAAAGTTAAACTAAGTGCGATATATAATGGACAAAATAAATAACGAGTTTTGAAAATCTGCGTATTTATTCGTGGATGACCAATGTAATAGTGGGTTGTGGGACATCCCTCTCAAATAACACAAAAACACATTATATATGACTAAAAGTCTATTGTCTCGTCCTTTTGTGATGAACACTTTCCAATGAAAATGTTGAAAGTTTTTTTTTTTTTTATTCTATAAAACTTTAAAATATACAGTAGCCGGTGAAAGTAACTAAACTAATTTCCGACCAATATATGATAATATTTTAAGATTATAACGCCTAGCATCTTCTTTTATCCGAAATGCTGACTTCATTGAGCTGAGGATGACAATACGTCACAAACAAGATCAATGATTGATCATCAACAGAGGTTTTTTCACACTGATTTTTAGGGCATTCCTTTTGTTTTTAAGTCAATTTCTTTGACAATGCCTTCAATCCAAATCTTTCACATAAAAAAAAATGGTCGTTTCTGCCAGTTCCAAAGAATTAGCAAGTGAATGTACTCATAATAATTATATTCAAAACCTAATATTTTGTTATTTTAACTATCAAATAAAATTCATCAAAAATCATTATATGAAATAACATATGAGTTTTGTTCATCTATTCGTGAATTCTAAAAATCAATTAAAAATTAAATTTGTGTTAAAAATATAGTATTAATATCCATCATATTTAGACAAAAATATAATTCTATCACCTTCAAGGAACTCTCAATTCAGGCAAATATCCTTTTGCAATTCTATTCTCAAGTCAAACTACACTTTTCTTCAATTCAAAGCATTTTGTATACGAATGATTTTTTATTTAAGAATTTTTAAAATATATAAATAAAAATTACACTATTTACTCTCAACTATTTGTTTGAATTTCATTATAACTAGTTTTGAAAAACTAATTTTGGTATAATTAGTTTTTTTTTTAAGTTGATATGTATATAATATTTCAAAAATAATTGAGAAAAAATACTTTTATTTAGTTGATAAAAGTGGAAAATTTTGTAGAATATAAATAAAATATTATTTGGGAATTAGGGAACGTGATTTTAGTGCCTTCTTCAATTGAAATATGTTTTTATATTTATATTATATCAATAGGCTATGATATGTCTGGTAATTAAAATTATGTCATGGGGATGCTTACTGACCCAGTAAATAAAACTAAATTCTGAAAACTAAATTGTTATGATATTTAAAAGACCTGACTAACATATTAAATATGAAGATTTAAAAGTTCACATTTACAATATATTATGCAGAAAAAATGAAGTTAAACCTAAAATAAAATGTTTAAGAGTTTACCAGTAATGAATCTTCTTTTTCATAAATTACTGTATTAGAATGCAAAAACATGTGTTACATTAGAACCATGGTTCCTTTAAGTGGAAAATAAGTTATAAAAGAGGTGAAGATTAGATTGGATGGTGAAAAGTGAAGGGAGGTTGGGATTGGATGGATGGATGGGTGGAGATGCCCTTCAAGATTTGACATCTGTCCAACTCCATTGTCTTCTCTCACACAACACAACACTCTACTTTTTTTTTTTTTTTTTTTTTTTTTTTCTTTCTATATTGCCCCTTTCTCTTTTCAGTCCATTTTTCTGTCAATAAAAGTTTATTTTTTAACTAATTTTTAGTCATTTTCTTTTCTTTCTTCTCCACTCCCTTTCTCGCGCTTCCAACACACTCCCCAACACACTCAGGTATGCTTATCATTTCTATATCACACCCAGCAAAGCTGTTAATTTTTATTCACTAAAATGGTTGGGATTAAGGAAAGTCCATGTTTTTATTTTTTCTGTTGATTTTTTGTTTCTTCTTCCATCATGGGTCTCTGGTGTCACAGTCAGAAGACAAGGCAGTGAGAAGAGAAAAGAAGCGAAGGAAGGAAGAAGGAAGAAACGAGACTCTACATGGTTGACAAAAATTAGGTAATGAATCTCTTTTTCTTCTTTATTTCTTTTACCTTTTTTCTTTCTTTCATTTTATGATTATTATTATTATTGGACGAGGTTGAGTTTTGTTGCCTCAGATCCAGGCAACTCGTGGTGTAGTGTGATAAAAGGGTGTTATCTTTTGAGGGCTTCCTTGTGATTCTTGAGACTTTGCTTTTCCTGGGGTTCTTTCTCATGACCCCTTTTTTCTTAACTCAATATTTCTTGTGCTTAGAGATAATGAGTGTTGGTTTTGTTTTTTTTTCCTCTCTCTCTTTTATTTTGTGGGTTTTAATCCTTTTTGTTTTTTGCAGATAAAGTTTGTTTCTTTCAAGTTTCGAGCTGATTCTCTCTCACCAGAGTTGACGGAGGTAGACAGAGAAGAATCCAGAGAAGAATATGATAATGGTTGAAAAAGGGTGTAGTTTAGCTAATTTTGGTTGAAATTTCCACAAATGGAAATTTGGATCCATTGTTGTTGACCAGATCTGACTACTCCCATTTCACTTTCACCACCTTTTATCTAGTCCATGATTTGCATAGGTTGAATTTGCCTCCGTCTTTCGGCTTCTTAGACATGGGAAATGGTTTTTTTAAATCCGCGCTTCGCATTCCAGGATCGTTTTTAATCAGAAAATACGGTGATAAATTAGTTCAAATATGACCGGCCGTGTGATCTCAGTAGGCTGGGAGGGTAACTTTTTGTACTACATAGATAAGGATTTTGATGGAGGAGATGTCAACCACGGTTGCAGTGCCATTGAGAGTAGGTAATTCAGTGTGTGATAAGTCAACCATTTCTACCCACGTGGATGTGTCTAGAATTAAGCTGATGGCAGATGCAGGGTTGTTATCCAATTCTATAACTAAGGTTTCTACTGATACTTTTATTGGTTCGGATGAGGATCATCACGGTGGCCGTCTTGAGGATGAAGTTGGTATTACAGCAGTCACACCTCCAGAGCAGGGAAGAGAAGGAGAAATTCCGATGTTGGGTATGGTATCCCAAAATATAAACTCTTTAGTTGTTGGTGATGAAGCTTTAATCCCAGAAATTGAGGATGATGATTTGATATCACTGGAAGGTGATCCAATTATTGATAGTTCTCTTTCAGCAGCCAGTGAGAATAGTGGATTTTGTGGAGATGAGTTCATCAGTTCTGCTGCAGATTTGGGGACAACAAGTTCCACAGACATAGAGAACAGCATCTCCACTGTCAAAATTGCAGCTGGGGCTACTGATTTGGGTGCGTCAAATGTAGTGAAAGATGTTGCTGTGAGCCTTGAAGAAGAGACACGACTTAGATCTGACCCCAAGGCTACTACAGGTGTTCTTCATCAACAAACTCTGGAAAGATCTGTGAGTGGAACAGTTGGTAGAAGTGTTTTTGAATTAGATTGTACCCCACTTTGGGGATTTACATCTGTGTGTGGAAAAAGACCTGAGATGGAGGATGCACTTGCAACTGTACCTCGGTTTTTGAAAATTCCTATTCACATGCTAATTGGTGATAGGGTACCTGATGGAATAGACAAATGTTTCAAGGAGCAGACAACACATTTCTTTGGAGTCTATGATGGCCATGGTGGCTCTCAGGTAAAGTTGTATTTTGCTTTTTACGTGTTCTTATGTTCAATAATTAAGCATTCTTCACATGGAGCCTGTCTACATTTAGGTGGCAAATTATTGCCGCCAGCGCTTGCACTTGGCCTTGGCCGAAGAAATAGAATCTGTCAAGCAATGTCTATTAGTTGAGAGTGCCAACGATGATTGTCGAGATCTGTGGAAAAAAGCTTTCACCAATTGTTTTCTGAAGGTTGATTCTGAAGTTGGGGGGGAAGTTAATTCTGATCCTGTTGCCCCAGAAACTGTTGGATCCACTGCTGTTGTTGCTATTATATGTTCATCTCATATTGTAGTTTCTAACTGTGGTGATTCAAGAGCGGTTCTGTGTCGTGGCAAAGAGCCCATGGCCCTATCTGTTGATCATAAAGTAAGCTATACCTCCAATTATACAGTTTTGCATATCCTTTGGAAAAAGTTTTACCTATATAGAAGAAATTTATGTTTGATTGTTGTATGGTAGCCAAATCGAGATGATGAATATGCTAGAATTGAGGCAGCTGGAGGCAGGGTGATACAATGGAACGGTCACCGAGTTTTTGGTGTTCTTGCTATGTCAAGGTCTATTGGTATGTGTGCTAAATCTCGAATTTCACTTTTGTGTAATAATTTGAGTTACTTGGGAGTCTTTTGGTGAGCATGGCTGATTACAAGGAATTTTCTCAATGCACTTATTAGTAACTTAGTTTCTGAAAAGAAAAAGGGACATTGGTTGCGTTATTTATGTGCACTCTGATCCCTGATAGAAATGATGTTTTATCAAGATTGTAATGTTATATTTACATGTGATGCTGATCACTTAGATTAATGTTATATTTCCTACTAACCCTCGTAATACTCTATAAAATAAATATTAATTGAAAATGTAAAATACATTTAATATCTTAAAAATGTAAGATGCATGCAATTCTTTCTACTTTCAGTAAGGCAGAAGATGTTTTAGGAGGATTTAGTGATCTTCTTTTTCACAGGACTAACAATCCTGCCGTTTACCCTCCTCGCTGGGTGCATTAGTGACCTTTGTACGTTTTCCAACTATCTCAACCAATTTTCTGTCATCTTTTTCTCAATTCACACCATACTGATACCTTTTTGCATACAATTATTTTGTATCACACCCTTTCTTGTGTTACCATAGGATAATAATACTTTCCCCTAAGCCTGATAGACATTGAATTTACAAACCTTCAATGTCCTTCTTTTCCATTCAGCTATGTTTTATCTTCTATAACATCATTAATTTCCTATCATAGTGTAATGTTGGTTCCAAATATTTAAAATTAGAATCCTATGGCGTTACAGTTTCTCATTTTTACTTTCGAGTCATATTCCCAGTCTCTTGCTAAAGTTGTAACGTACGTACTCTCTTATTTTTACTTATCAAGCGAAAAGACTATGTTCAAATTCTTCTCCAAACTCAATTTTAAAAATTAATTGCTTACTTATTCCTATTCTTTTAAAAGTTGTAAGGTGCATACTCTTATTCTTACTTGTAACTTTGTGCTGTGTACAATTCGATAATTAAAAGTGATTCATCTACAAAAAAATGCAATTAGGGAGAACATTTTGTGTCTTTGTTTTTACTCTACCTAAAATAAATTTATAATTTTTAGTTCTATACTTAAGATTTGAGTTATAATGAGTATACAAAATTCTTCTGCCAAGAATATCTTTCAACATTCAATGGTTCGCCGCCCTATAAAGTTTAGCTGACTTGGTTTGGATGAGGTAATCTCTCTGGGGGGTTTCAAAATTGAAAAGTTTTATTCAGAAGAGAGGGAATGTGAATGGAGCTATTTTTGTTAAATGATGCCTTGATTTATACAGGTGATAGGTATTTGAAGCCATGGATTATTCCAGACCCTGAGGTGACATTTCTTCCTCGTGCGAAAGATGATGAATGTCTCATTCTGGCCAGTGATGGCCTGTGGGATGTCATGACAAACGAAGAGGTGTGTGACATTGCTCGGCGGCGCATACTTCTCTGGCACAAGAAAAATGGGTCGGCACGGCCCGCAGAAAGGGGAGAGGGAATTGATCCTGCTGCACAAGCAGCTGCAGAGTACCTATCAAATCGCGCCCTTCAGAAAGGAAGCAAAGACAACATCACTGTGATTGTGGTGGATTTGAAAGCTCAAAGAAAATTTAAGAGCAAGACATGACTATTTCTTCAACTGCACCTGGGTGTTGGAAGATATGGGAAGCTGAATATGATCAAATATTGTTTTTTTTTTTTGCCCATAAATTTTTCATATGGGCATCAGAATAGCACCCTGTACAATACATCCACCTCTCCCCCCTAGTTCTCAACTGATTAAGAGTCTTCTTGTACACTGCCACATTGGGGCCATGTAAATCTTTGCTGCTTTTGTAGGTTGGTATAGGAGACCAGTTCCATGCGTATCTGTCACATATTGTATTCATTATTATGCCTCCGAGAACAAAGGCTCTGTGAGGTATTTACTTCATATTGTTTTAACCTGTGTTGTTTATAAAAAAAGTAGTAGCTAATTGGCATTGTGGTTTACAAGTTTGTCATGATCCATTCCTTCTAATAATGTAGAATGTTTGGAGTCTGCTCTAGAAATTTATGTTGGTGGTGGATTGATATCATTGGCTATGACTCACTTCCAGTCATTAATGAAGGTGGGGACAATTATGGACAAGATTGCATAAGAAAAATCCCGGTTATATATATTTATTTGGTATACCTGTGCTTAGCTACGGTTGAGAGTAACTGCATATAAATAGGAATGTGGCTTCTTATCAAACACTTTCTTTTTTAAAAAGATCACTGCAGATTGATAAACTTTTAAGATATTTTCATTCATTCAACCATTCAGGATGTCAATTTTTTTCAAAAGTGTTTTATTTAAACTGGTTAGACTGGACTATTTTCCTTTTTCATGGCTATGATTTGTGATACATAAATATCCAAACATTGCAGTTCTGATTCTGATTGCCGAGAGCACTAGGACAATCTTAAGGTCCTACGTGTCTGGCTGTGTGCTGCTGTCATGTTTTGCAACAAAATAAAATTGGAAGAAAATGACTTCTGAGCCAGGTTGTTATATTCTACAACTTTATTTTGCTCCTTTAAAATCTTATTTTCTTTCAAATGAAATACCAATTAAGAAATTAACAGTAAAAAGCTTTTAAACAATTATTATTAATAGTACAAATGACTTGTGATTCGCCAGTGCAAGGTTGAAGTTTGTAACTTTGATTTGTACCTTTAAGAATATTAATGTTTAAAAATAAAAATTGCTAATTCACATATATCTTTTTTTACAGATGAGTAAAATGTTTTTAAGAAAGAGTAAAAGTTTGTAACTTATAAAGAGGACGCGTCATATTACCTCTAAATATTTTGTTACTACATTCTTAAAAAGATATAACATAGTTATTGAACTCATACTTGTGTTGCAACTAACGATTATAGTCGTATAAGATTCAATTAACTTCTAGATCTGTTCAGGGATTTTTCTTGCCCACAAGAAAATCTCAAAGATTTTAATTTTATATAAACTAATAAGATTAAATTAAGTATGAAATCAGATTACTTCATGGCTGGTCCTTTGCTAAGCTGTTAACTGATGTGATTAGCAACAAGGGTACATGACATCGAACTTTTGTCACATTTCCCCCATTAAAAATTCTAAGCATTATTCATTTTCTAGTTGTCTCTAGACACCTCTGATACAAACCAACTAGTGGACCCAAACCCAATAAGGAAGGATGATTCAATAGTAAGGAAACGAGCAAGAAAGAAGCCAGCGTGGATGACTGATTATGTCTGCGAACAAAATTAGAAGATCCTGATATGCTCAAATTATGTCTGCGGACAAAATTAGAAGATCCTTATATGCTCAAATTAATTCCTGAAATTTCTACTGCAAATTATTAGTTTAATTCCTGTTTTATTTCCCTAATTTTTGCTTGATTGTTAGCACCCAATTCCTTTTAATAGCTATGATGTAATCAAAACAGAAGAGAATAAAAGTTTTGATCCTTTTTCCCCCAAATTCTATTATTCTCTTTCCCTTAATTTTCTGAGGAGTGTACACTCAATTGAAGAGTGTTAAAACCTTTGAGCATTCTGTAGCAGAATGTATCATTGGTGTTTTCATCATGGACACAAATGAGCTTATGAGCGCCCTTCAATCCAATATCGATGCACAAATGGTAAAGTTTCGCGAATTACTCGAGTTCCATACCGAGTCAATTCATTCCACACTCCACCAACACCTGGTAGAAGTTGATTCGAAGGTCGCAAACTTACACGTCGAAGGCAAAAAACAACCACAGAATGCATTTGTCGGGCATACGTCACGTGCGCTGAAATTAAACGTACCACGTTTTGATGGTTCCAATCTCTTGGATTGGATTTTCCAGATTGAAGCTTTCTTCAACTTCCATGAAACTCCGGAAGAGTCCCGACTTCAGATCGTAGCCTTTCATCTTGACGGACGCGCTGCTGGCTGGTTCCAATGGGCAACACGTAACAATTTGTTAGCATCGTGGCCAATTTTTCTCACCGCTGTTCGCCACCGCTTCGGTCCAACTCAGTACGAAGACATTGAAGGTGAACTCTCCAAATTAACTCAAACCGGCTCTGTAGCTGATTTTCAAGCCCAGTTTGAAGAATTGATGAACAAGGTCAACGGTATCTCCGAATCACTACTGATCAGTTTTCTCATTACGGGACTGAAAAAGCATTTGAGACGGGAATTGCATTTTCACCGACCTGCTACTTTAATGAAAACCTTCGCCATGGCCAGAGCATATGAGGCCCGTTTTGATGACACACCAACCATAGGCAAACTGTGGTCTCGCGGCCCACAACACTCCACAGGCTCACATACCCAACCTAAACACAATCAAACAAACCGATCCAATTCAAATCCAAATAACCCATCAAACAATACTGCAACATCGTTACCACCACTCTTACCCACATCACACTCAAACCCTGCCGTGCGGAACATGCCCTCTGCCGAACTCCGAGACCGCTGTTCAAAAGGTCTCTGTTTTAAATGTGATGAGAAATGGAACCCATCTCACCGATGCCAAAACCGCGTGCTTATCCTCTTGGGAGCGGATGAAGAGGAACCCCCACCAGAATCCGAGGATAACTCAATAGATGATGTCTCGGGTGACATATCCAGCCTTCACTCCTTGTCCAGCCAGCTCCAAAGTCGATCCTTGCGTGTTTTCGGCCTTTATAACCAAACAAAATTCACCATCCTCATTGACAGCGGGAACACTCACAACTTTATCAAGCCTGCGTTAATGGAACGATTTGGGGTTACCTATCAAACCATGCCCTCATTTCAAGGTTGCAACTGGTTGTGGAACCTTCTTGGTTTGTCAATTTTGCTGCCATAATGTCCCTCTTATCTTACAAGACATTAAATTTGAGGTGAATTTGTTTATCCTGAACATTGAAGGTCCCGATGTTGTGTTGGGCTTTCCTTGGTTGCAATCTTTGGACAAAGTTGCTCATGATTATTCGGCTCTCACTATGGAGTTCAGGTGGCAAGGGACCCAAGTTACTTTAGTAGGTGATGCCTCTCTAGCCTCACAATCAGTGTCACTGCATCAGCTTCAAGCATTGGTTCACACCAATAATGTGGCCAATGTTTTTACCATCACGACGTCCCTTCAAGACGTTGATTCTCTCCCAGAACCATCCAACAATTTTCCATCCGACCTACCCAGCCCAGTTACTGATCTATTACAACGTTTTAAGTCCATTTTTTCTGTACCCACAGAATTGCCTCCTCACAGAACGGTTGACCGTTACATCCATCTTGTTGAAGGATCCAAGCCGAGTCAATGTGAGGCCCTATCGATATCCTCGATTTCAAAAATCTGAAATGGAGAAGTTGATCCGCTTGATCAAGGCATCATCGTCCCTAGCCACGATCCATTTTCTTGACCCGTCTTATTGGTAAAGAAGAAAGATGGTACATGACGATTTTGTGTGGATTATAGATCGTTAAATTCTATTACGATTAAAGATAAATTTCCAATTCCAACCATTGATGAACTTTTGGATGAGTTGGGTGGCGCAAGAATATTTACAAAACTAGACTTGCGTGCAGGGTACCATCAAATTCGGGTTCATCCGAGTGACACTTATAAATCGGCGTTCCGCACACATGAGGGCCATTTTGAATTTCTTGTAATGCCGTTTGGACTTACTAATGCACCGTCAACATTCCAAGCAACAATGAACCAATTGTTTTCTCAATACTTACGAAGGTTTGTGATTGTTTTTTTTATGACATACTCGATATATAGTGCATCTATTGAAGATCACTTGCAACATTTAACATTGGTTTTCACTTCCTTAAAAACTCATTGTTTTTTTGTGAAGCTGTCCAAATGTCTATTCCGTCAAGAGTCCATTGACTACTTAGGCCATATAGTTTCTTCTCGGTGTGTACAGGCGGATCCGGCCAAGCTTGAAGCCATGGAAAAATGGCCCATACCGATAATCGGTCAAACAACTTAGGGGGTTCTTAGGCCTTACTGGATATTATAGAAAATTCATTGCCCATTATGCAAGAATAACTTCTCCTTTAACCGATCTCCTGAAGCATGATGCATTCTCTTGGAATGAAAATGCTCAACGGGCATTCCTTGCCCTCAAGCAAGCTATGCTTTCTGCGCCGGTCCTTAGTTTACCTGACTTTTCTAAAGAATTTGTAACAGAGACTGACGCATCCAACGTCGGTATTGGAGTTGTTTTAATGCAAGAGGGCCACCCCTTGCCTTCTTTAGTAAGAAATTGGGGCCGAAGTTACAAGCTGCATCTGTATACATCAAGGAACTACATGCCATTACGGAATTTGTTCTTAAATGGAGACAATACTTGTTAGGTCATTTTTTTGTCATCCGAACCGATCATAAGAGCATCAAGGAATTACTTCGACAAGTAATACAAACTCCGAACAGCATGATCGTATGTGCGCAAACTCTTGGGGTTCCAATTCCGCATCGAGTACAAACCCGGGGCTTCCAATAAAGTGGTCGACGCACTTTCACGTGTGCCGGTGACCGGCGGACAGTGACCACACACCCGCACTCGAGCATTAGTGTCATCACCTACATATGGTATTATTACTCAGCTCCAAAAAGATAATGCTTCGATTTT